CCGAAAGACAAGTGTACCTTCAAAGAACATCTCTGAATACATATTTGTTTGACTTTTTCAGCAGCTGACCTATCATTGTGTTTGTAAGGCATCTGACAAAAATAACCTGTGTAATTCAAATACATAATTGCTGATAACTCTTCTCCTAGAGCAGCAAGATGTAAGAAAGAGTTTTGAAAGGTGCCCTGGCTTGATCTGTCTGCCCTATAGTGGAATGCAAGACTGTCCAACCCTGTCACAAAAATACTTCAAATCTTCAAATTGCACCAAACTGCAGCTTCTGAAATGTATCTGATGTAAAAAGGTATATATCTTACAAGTTAACAACATAAATATATTATTCTGTTAGCAGAATGCACAACTTTGTAAGGAGATATAAATGTACCGGGGCAAAGTTGGAGATTAAAATCCTAGGGACAATTTGTTTGATTTCCTGTATCGCATAACTTCTGTCCCCAGACTCCCATTTTTTGTACCGATATTAAAGTCCAAGAGAAGTTTCAAAAAGTTGTGTTCACAGCCCGGGTGTATTGTACCATTAACTTGATAATGGTAAAGGAGAAAGGGGCAAAAGGGGATAGGTAGAAGAAGGCTTCTGGGTGTACTCCTGCAAGTATGAAGCCAGCCTCTGTCTGAACGATGCGTTAATGTTTACAGCATTAACACAAAGTCCATGTTTCCACTGCAGACCCTATTGTACAGATCCAAAAGTTAATTTAAACAAGCGCAAAGAGGTCTTACTGCTATTCCCAGGGAACCATTGCAAGTATACAGGTTGGTATGAGGTGCAAATACATCTCCACAAGGAGGCATTCGAGAGGGTTGTTCTATGATTTTCCAAGACTATTAATTTGTTTTCCAATACACTTGAAATGAGAAACCAAACTTGGTAGCAATGAGTCCCCGAGGCAGCCAGCAATATTGTCTACAACAGGGTAAAGAACACATGAATTAGTTTGAGGTGTATAGAAAGTGATTCCACTAATTCTTAGATAAATAAAAGTTGGTCTGCAGAAAGTACCTGTTCATCACAAACACCATCATGTTGACTCAAACTCTTAGACTCTCTGTGACCTCGTCTTTGGAAAACAACAGCCCCAGTGAATGGGTTTATTGTTGAGCTCAGAGCAGACACCATGCCTGATTACCAGTACCTCTGGGACTCAGGACAGAACGGGTTGAATCTATTCCTCAGAGACCGCCACAAGTTGTGACATCTCCATTGTTTCCTGGTACGCTTTCCTCTGGAAGCCTGAGACGGTCAGAAATGTCCATCACATTGATTTCTCATTGTTGCTAATTGGCCAGACTGGAGAGAAGACACACACAAAATCCCTCAGGTACAGTATCCGTACATCTGTCAGTCTCAATGTGTGGACTCTGGCCCCTGAGGAATGGAGTCAGACACCCGTCATGGTAAGTGAGACAGATCAAACACTTTGCTGACAAGTGAAAAACTTCTCTAGATGATTACATAGTTAAGAAAAGACTGTAAAGAGGAGCAAGGCTTGGCTCAGTGTTCAAACAGAATTGTAATGTAGAAGTGAAACAGAGCAGTGTAAATCCAATTGAAATAAATTAAAGAGTAGATAAAACACACACAAAAAAACTGAATGATTGGACAAAAATGAGTAGTGATCTCCAGCACATGTTGACAATCGGACATGCTTTACTTATCAATCATTGAGATCATGTTATTCCTTACATCTAAGGGAAACCCTAGAGGGTATATGTAGGTAGCCTCAGCTTTATTCCCTCATTCTTCCAAATTAAGCCATTATTTTTAAAAAGCTTCCAACCCTGCATAGCCTGTGGTACTAATTTAAAACTAATTGATTGGCTATTCCTTGAACCTAACATGTAGGGGAGCTGCCAGAGGATTATGAAAAATGGGCCAAACGGAAGAAAAAAAAAACTGGGCTCTTCATAAAAAAGGATGCTGTCCAACTGAGCGCCCAAGGGAACTCTCTCTGTGTTTTTTTATTTGCTCTCGCCCGCCAAAATTAGGTTCTATTGATCTGATAGCAGAGTAATGACGCGCCTTTGACATCCATTGTGAGCGCTAGTGGGGCTATTGGATTGGCTGCCACAGATGATATAGAGAGGTCAAACTCATTATGAAACAATAGAATATCTAAAGGGATGAACAATATGTACAAAATCAAAGCATGTTAATATGGTTTGTTCATCAAATGATATAACATGTTTTCTCATTTACCCCTCAAGGTTCAAATGTGGTTTTTCTTTGCTAGGGTTCTGATATTTCTTCCAATGCAAAACAACAATACGTGGTTACACAGTTTTTGCTAGGTCTACTCTCATGCTAAAATGTAAATGTGTAAACACATGAGCATAATCTTCTTCTGCTACTTCACAACAGATGTATCACCTGACCTTCTTTGTAGAGCTCCATTCTGTAGACAGAGATCTTTATCGGTCAAAGAGGAAATGCCACCTTCTGCTTTCCCTTTCCTCTTCAAACGTACACCTCGAACAGCGGGTAAACTCAAGCCCTGTCAACACGATGATATCATCCAGTGGAAAATCTAATAGAAATGCATTACTTCCAGGCCTCATAGACAAGGGCTTCGAGGCCAATCTGACTCAAATGGGAATAACGCCCAGGAGGTTAGATCCAAACACTAGCTGACCTTGGCCTAATCGTAACCTGCAGAGTCACCGTGAAGCATAAATCTGACCTTAGTTTTTCAGACTCAGGGTAATTCCTGTCTGCAAGAGTTAGAGGCAACAGAAAACGGTGGACCATGGTTAAACATCTGATGCGGTAGGCAAGGACAGAAAGAAAGATAGGCCAACGAAGGCAGCCGTCATTAATTTCAATCAGGATCCCAGTCTGGCAGAGTTAATAATATCAGCATGCCCTTCTGACCTCAGACGATAGTACGACATCAACCTCCGCAAATGACTCATTAATTTACCCCATTAAGTTGGACAGAGGTTGCGGGCAGGGGAAAAAACATGGAGGTGAATGAATTCATTAGATATTTAAAAGATAATGTATACCTTATTCAATTGAGATGTGTCACATCAGAGAAAGAGAGGTCAGGGTGAGAATAGGAATATGAAAAGACAGCCTGCTGAAGTGTATATGTTGATAGCATTTATGTTGATCAAGAGGGAATGCAATAAGATCAACACATGAATGGCAAGTACTTCCATTTTGATTATCTGAAGCACTTGTCTGGTAAGCCTCTTGTGTACTAAAATGCTCTGAATGCAAATGAGAAAAACATCCATCAAGCCTCATGTTTGTTTTGTTATCATTACCAAGCCTTGCTCCTATTTGTTTTAACATATTTCAGTCAAACCCAAATATGAAAAAATAAACCAAGGCAGTTATGTTCTTGGTTCTTGGGACCATACAGAAGAAAAAAAGCAATTAATGAATATAACACAGACTTGTAAAATCATACTGTACCTCCAAATGGCACTTTGGTCCATAGCAGGTTCCCACCCAGAGCAAGCCGGGTCATATAAAGATAGTGGCGAGTCATCCAGTCTGGGGCCAAGTAATTCCCTCGGGCCTTCACTCCACTTACCATCTATTGTATCTCAGTGTGTAGTGCAGGGAGTATTTGACATAATTTAAGTTTGTAAGCAGCCTTGCCTCGAGCTGATACAACACCCTATCTCCTCTCCAACACTGGCAGGTTCAAAATGAGATGCAGCAAAACCTCTAACCTGCTGTCTATCTTCCCTAAATGTGATTACAGGGTTCTTTAATATAGAAGCTAACACTTCCACAACCAAACCGCATGACTTGCACTATTGAAATGTGAATGTTTTACCTTATAGCTCCCCTTATCAAACAAAATATGCTACAACAGTAAATAAGAAATGGGCCAGGAGAGGTTTACTTCACGCTATCTAGATAGACAGACATGCTCGGCCAATCACATTCACTCACACACACACACACACACACACACACACACACACACACACACACACACACACACACACACACACACACACACACACACACACACACACACACACACACACACACACACACACACACACACACACACACACACACACACACCACACACACACACACACACACACACACACACACACACACACAGCAACTGGACTGTTATCTATATGCAAAGCATCTCCACTAAGCTATTCATTTTGCTACCGTAGACGGGACTGAGAATAATAGAAGACTCTGCCCTAACTGTAACCTCCCACCCACACAATCACTCTCACCAGCATGCACAAACTTTATACATGCCCACACACCGGTGAACATATGTAGTGAGGTGTTTCGAATCGATAAGCATGCTCAACACAGCCCCTCCCCGACCTATCCTTACAATGGTTAATTGCCAGGAAGAACAATTAGCCCGATAAGTATCACTCAATGTCCTCCCCCAAAGAGGAAGATTCAGGCTACTCTAAAACAAGCGCACCTAATTCCTCATCCTGCTCCGTCTCTCATTATCTCCCTAAATGATGCTTCTATAGAAGAGCAGGTGTTGGCGGTGCATTGGAATTATTCTTTTGTAAATGGCGGTTTGATGGGATTAGGACGTGGGTGGGGGGGCTTAAGTCATGAAAGGGGGCTGCATCTGGTGAAATTGCCGAGCTACAGTAAGTACCAGTTATGAGGTAGAAAACTTTTGCTTGTTACCACCTTTTCTTGCTCATTAGTGGGGATTTGACCGGCTAAGGAAGCCTGCGAGGACCAAAGTGCCCAGCATGAGGTAGTTTGGTGAACAGCCTATTGTACGGGAAAAACCAATTTCAGAAACAACCTCTTAAAATGTCAATGGATTATTATGGAATTTTTTAAAACACCCAGAGAGAATATCTCTTTAACTCCAGCAGGGGAATTATCAATTTCAATGGATACCTCAGTGAGTGCCATACGCTTGTGTCTTGCTACATTAACATCTGATCCCATTTATAAGTCTGCTGTTGGCATCGAACCTCACAATCTCCCTCAGAACATTCGACTTTCCTTTCTTGGCTCACAGCTTCTGTTGGGCAGAAACCCCCTTCCAGTAGTCCAAAATATCGTGAAGGTCCTCATCCTTGGCAAACTGCACCTTCTTACGCAGGGCGTGGCCTGCCGCTATATAGGATGCTTCCTCTCTGGGGCTCTTCTTGTAAGGCCGGAATCGCTCCCAGATCCGCAGTGTGCTCTCAGACGAATACTCTGGACTGGAGGAGTAGCCAGAGTTGTAGTTGTGGTGACGGGAAGGTGAGAGCTGGGAGTAGGTGGCTGTGGCATCCCTCTTGGTGCGGCCCAGTGGCTTGAGGAATGAAGCCTTTTGGGCTGGTAAGGGTGATTCGTTGCCGCCCTCGTAGTAGAGCGCAGGGAAGGAGTGGCGGTGCTCAGAGCTGTGGTAGTCTGGCTGAACCTCCAAGTGATGCTGATGGTGCTGTCCTGGGCCAACCACTGCACCCCCACCTCCACCTCCACCTCCGTTCCCGTTATTACACCCCATCCCACCCCCATTCACACTCACCCCACCACCATTGATGTTTCCCATCCCATTTCCGTTGCAGCCGCCTACTCCGCCACCTCCTCCACCACCTCCTCCATTTCCGCCCCCTCCACCACAACCCACAGGGCTTCCTTTTTCCATCGGGTACTTGGGAGGGTCGCTGCGCTGCTCGGGTATATCCACACTGTACACCCTGTTACTCTTGTTTGATCCCGCTGCAGGGTTACAACGGTTCTTCACAGCAGTGTCAGAACTCAACTGCCTCTGAAGGGGCCGCACTGCATTGGCTGGCGGTGGGTCACGGTAAGGAGGGGAAAGGAAACCCCCACCGCTTATGCCCGGTCGCTCAGACAGGGGCATGACAAGGGGCACTGGGGCCATGGAAGGCGGGTGAGGGGGATGTAACTGAGGATGGGGCTGAGGATGTAACTGAGGATGCTGCTGAGGATGTTGCAGGGGGTGAGGCTGAGGATGAGGTTGGGGGTGAGACTTTGGATGCACCTTTGGAGAGGAGGCCATGATCTGATCGCCAAGGTGGCCCGGAGATAAAGGAAGGAGGTTGCGAGGGAGGGATGCGATGCAAGTTAGCGGCTGAGAGTTGGACACGGAGTTGGCGTTGTCAGCGCTGGTTACGACACAAGCAGAGGTATCCAGCTTCAGGGCGTCGATGCAGTTGTTGATGATCTGGTTCACCTTGTCCACCTCCTTGGCGATGGTGGAGATCTCTGATGCTGAGCCACGGCCATCATCATCCGAATCCTCCCCAGCCTCTGTCCCATTCTCAGCCCCACCTCGCATATCCACGACTGCTTCCCCTCCCATCACTGCACCTCCAGCTCCCACCCCTCCCTCCCTGCCTTCCACTGCCATTCCCGCCGTCCTCACATCAATGTAGTTGCCCTTGCCGCCCATTGCCTCAGAAAAGGCAGTGGCCATTTTTTCTACCTGCGGCAAGGTGGAGAGGCGTGAAGTACTGGTGTTGGCTGATCCGTGGAGCAAGCCTGTGCTAGAGGAGGCAGACTGGGGCAGCTTGCCTCCTGCTCCACCTGAATGGTGGTGCTGGTGGTGAGCTTGCTCCTGGAGACGCTGCATCGCACCCGGGTCATTGGCCACTGCAGCAGCCGCCTCCGGGCCATACCTGAAGAATGAAAGATTCATTATCTCACCTCATATTTTGTACATCATTTTGCAAATTATCCTAAACAGCATGATTGCAACATTAAGTTGAACCCATTACTTTTTGTTTTCAAAAGTTAATTAGATTTATTATGTCCTTTCGGCGATGCCATGGAGCGTCAGAATCCTTTCTGTTTTAATTAAAGCTCCAAGAAATTATAAAAAATAAGAATGGCCCAAAGCTTCAATAAAGATTATGGTAGGAAAACATTGGCTTTTCAAAACAAAACAAAGCAAGAAACAACTGAACCTCTTAGCGACAAACAATTGTACCAAGGGGACACACAATGCTGTTTGGCTAACATATTAGATTCAATCACTGTGTGATGGCTCCCCTCTCTGACCTTTATTCTTTAGGAAAAAAAGGTCACTTAACACTTCCATAAACACACAGACAGAAAAAGAAAAAGTCTTGTACCTCATCTCCAAAATAGTTTTCTTCACGCTTATAGCTTTCTTCTTCTCCTCCAGGATGCGTCGCCGCCTGAGACAGTAATAGACTACTCCAAGCACAATGACCATGCCAAACAGACATCCCAGGATGGTCATGATGTAGTGGGTAGTTGTGGACGGATTGGCTTGTGGGTCCTCTGACCCCAAAGCTCGTGTGGTGAAGAACAGACAGGTGTGGTTGTACCGCTGAGATTTGCTTGCAGACGCCACACAGTAAGTGTAGTTTGTGTGTGGTTTCAGTTTCTCCAAAGTGAGTATCTCCTTCTTCAATTTCAGAGGCTTGACGTCTGCAACAAAGCTGTGGTTGTACTGGGAAAGGATGTACATCTTACTGTATGGTCGTGGGATCTGTACCAATAGAGAAGCGCTATAGAGGGAGACAGTTTGAAGCTTCATGGAAATCTGATTGGGATAGGTGGGGTCAGCAGTGGAGGATATGGTTGGTTGGGGGTACAGACCTTGATCTGGGTTATCCAAACCCATGCCTGACCCATCTTGATCTGGTGTCTGTGAGGTCATCCCTGGAATTATTACACCATTGCGACACATGGATAAAAGAGTGTAATGGGCATTTCTTCCGTGCCCGGGCAGCGGGCTCAGAAGAGGATAACCATTCATTTCCAGAGGCGTTTCGCACTGGAGGCGGTCGTAGGTGTGGGTGACATTGTTGAACGCCTCCAGCCAGTTGAGGAAAGTGGAAAGTTCACAGCTACAGTGGAACGGGTTTCCCGCCAGTTCACACACCTGCAGCCTGTCGAGGCCCATGAATGTAGACGGTTCAAGACGAGCCAACTTATTGGAAGATAAGTCCAGGCTGCTGAGGCTGGGGCACTCCCCGAAGGCATTGCTAGCGATGACCTCAATAAGGTTGTGTTGCAAGAAGAGGCATTGGATTCGACCCAGACCTCTCAGCATGCCCTCAGTCAGGTTAGTCATCTTATTGTAGCCCAGCTGAAGAACCTGAGACACAAAGACAAAGTCGACTTTTACACTTTTTAATAAAACCAAACACAAAACAATCTAATGTTAATAATTTGGTGGATGTTTATTGTGGTCAGCAAAAAAAGTTTCCTTTGAATTGATATCTTTTATCAGGACTAAACCTATTATTGAGTTTTATTTCTGTAAACAGCTTGGAACGTTTTCAACAGCAACCATATGAAAAGATTGTGGCAAAATGGATTTTGGTTATATGGTTTCAGATGATATTCCTAGCTCAACTAGATGTAACCCTAACCCCTAAACCTACTGCATTGTGTAACAGAAACTAAACTGTATTAAATCCTACTTATTTTAACAAATTAAATCAAACTAATGGTGCAAACCAAGCCATTACAAAATATACAAATAAGTTAATAAAATCAAAAGAAAAAACAATAAATGAATACAACATGCAACAACTAGTATACACAATACACACTTCGAGGGATTTAACACAGACCTGAAAACAAATAATTCAATCATGTTTGTATAAATGTATGAGGATGGATTATGAAGAGTATGTATCTCTATTGGCCAATGTAAAACAAATACACACAAACAGAGTTGTGTTTGGGCTGCTGACCTGTAGGTTGGCCTGTCCAGTGAAGGCTCCATCCTCTATGTAGCTGATCTCGTTCTTGGTGAGATTGAGGTCAGTGAGGTTTGTGAAGCGGTACATGGAGGTAAAGAGCACAGCCTTAAGTTTGTTCTCATTCAGCCTCAGGTCATGAACCTACAGGAGACAAGAGAGCAGATTCATTTCAGGTAATGCGTTGCTCCCCTGGCAGCCATAGAGGAAAACCTCGCCAGAAATAGCTGCCAAGAGCATATTACACCTCCAAACATGCATTGCTCTCTAATGAATAATTTCCATAATTATACATCTGGTCAAAATGTGTTTAGTTAATCACAGTCTGTTTGTAAGGAGCTGAATCCCAGCTGAGAAATTAAACAGTGATAAATGTTGAACCCAGGAGTGGAATGTAGTCGCTTGTTAAAGAGACCCTGTAACTACTCTGGTCTTGAAAGAACATTACGCATCGAACCGTTGTCCACAATCACGTTTATTTTCTTCTTTGTACAATTATGAAACACCGTGAAAACGTGTTCGCCTAGTAGACCAGCAGTAGAATTATGTTATTACATCGTTGACACTTTTAGCGCCCTTTTACTCTCTCACAAACACAATATAAACATCCGGGGCTAGAGGTCACATGACTTCCGGAAAGACAACTCTTATCATTTTTACAAAATAAAACAAAGTTCAAGCATACATTAAACACTCTTCAACAAAGACAAAACAATAAATAAGGGACCTTTGAGCGTCAGCTACAGGCCCTATTCCGATGTTTGGGTATTTCCCTTTCCTGTAGTGTGATAGTTTTTGTGCATGTTAATGGTCTGCAAAGGCTAACATCCCTGTGTTCCTACCAGAGATAGTTCCTCTCTAGTATGTAAAAGCAGGCCAATACATAACCAAATATCATCAGCATACTCAACTTGTCCGAGCATGGACGTTAAGGGACATGAATCCAAAACAGTTTTTAAATAGTTTTTTTTAAAGTTATATATTTGCTCCTTTATTACAACATAATTCCGTTGTTGTGGTTACGTATGCACCATTATACACCAAAGCTTTAAAGTGTAAACCTACTTGGCAATAAACTCTATTATGTTCTGTTCCCCAAACTAATCAATTTAGCAAGACTTTGCTATAAAATCACTGCCACATAACACTCGAGCAATATTAGCTGGTTGTGTCACTATCATTGGACACATGAATATCATCTTTGGGTCCCACTTTACAATAAGACTACCCTTATAAAGGGTTTATAATTAGGTTATGAATTAGGTTGTAAACACTTTATTAATCATTAAGAACCATTTATAAACCAGTTCTAACATATCAACACAGGCTCACTATTTGGCAAGATGACTAAGCCTTATATTGGCTACTTAGCGAGAATCAACTCAGTGAGCAACAGATACCAAGGATGCTGGCTGATGAAGAAGACAAAGTAAGCTAAGTAGCCAATATAAGGCTTAGCAGTACAGATAAATGTGGGCTCACTATTTGGCAAGCAACCGGTCACAGTCGCCCTGTGTCTTATAAAAGCTTATTCATGATTTATAAAGTGTTCACAACCTAATTAATAAATGAATTACAATCTATTCTATAGTCTTATTCTAAAGTGGTACCCATCTTTGAAAATAAAAAATCAACATGCGATTTTAGAAAGTTAGTACATGTGGTATTACCATCACTGTCATAGTTCTCACCAGGATCCATTAGAATCACACAATAAACCCCCGGCACTGACTCAACAGAAAATTCAATTTACTTGCAGCTTTGCAAAAGCCACTATCACCATAAATGGCATTTGCTGACATCATGATAACTCAGAGTGCATGAGGGTTTTAATAGAGGTGGCTGGTGGTACAAAGGCCCGCAGATAGATACTGACCGTGCTGTTGATGTGCTGGGGGATGGTCTCGTACGGAGGCTGGTTCTGACTGCAGATAGCCAGCCAAACGTAGCCTTTATCCCCCTCTATGAGCCAGCAGTCGCCTTTCACCCAGGCCGGCATGTGGAGGAGCAACAGTGCAGGGAGCAGGAGGGAGAGGAACAGGGAGGACAAGCGCTGTCTGCTGGCCATGGTGTGGATTATCGAGTGATATCGCCTCAGTAGAAAGGAGGAAAACGAGGAGTTGAAGGGAGGGAGGCAGCGAGCAGCAGTTTTGAATCAGGAAGTTCTGCAGGTCGGGGGCAAATCTGAGTAGAGAGGAAGGTGAACTGAAGGGCGTCTTCGCGGTGATTAGAGCTGAGCTTGCAGCATGGCAGCAGGTCCTGTCCCCATTTTAGGTGTTCCACGTCAAAGGGTTTTGGAGACTGTCACCCCAGCTGCTACTCATGGCCTCTGACAAGTGTCTGCAAACAGATGAGGAAACACTCCCTGTCAGAAGCACCTATATAACAGAGAGGGGGGAGGAGGAGGAGGGGGAGACAGAGAGGGGAGGGGAGGGGAGAGTATTAACATTAACAGTGATAATAACTAAATGATTAAGAGCATGCAGAACATTGTAATACAGTCCATACATCCCCAGATAGGTCCTACTTCTAAACAAGCAGCTATATGAATCTAATACCCATGCTACACAATCCCTTCAAGGTAATGCGCCCCAGTAATACATCCATTAACTGTCATGATTATTTCGTTAAGCCTTCATAAAGCCCAGAGTAATATATATTTTGACTTTTCAGATGAAACCAGGGTTTTTATGTTGTGTAATCTTTCATGTTTATGAAAATAACAGCCTTATATGAGAACAGATTGCAGATCTGCTCCAATATTAGCATATGATGCACCAATAAAAATGGAAATGGCCAAGACTGTGAAAGCAACACCGCTTCTCATTCAATGTTTACAAGGTTCACCAGCCGTTCTATTATTTCAATTTGGAGGCACATAACGAAACAATACAAATTATATTAGCTGCAGTTATATCGGGGTGAAAAGAGGAGGATGGGTTAAGTGGAAAACAGAGGAGGGCTGTTGTAATTTGCATGTTTTAACAGGATACTAACTGACATTAAGCTATTTACCTTTCTCAGGGGGATTAACCGTGGATTAGGCTCTAATCCAGCATAAACTATCTCATCAGAACAGCTCCGACTCTTTTAATTTGTTTGCAAAGTTTGTATTCTCTCCTGGGGAAAAGTTCTCTTACCACAGCATGAATGACAGGGCGTTGATAGTAAAAAAAAAACAACAACTGAGGAATGAAACCTTTTTTAAGTACTTTCTCCATCTCTATTCCAAATAAATTCCTCCTGTTTTCTTGGGAGAGAAAACCTGCTAGAAGAAACGAGGCTGTGACATGGTTCAACCCAATCTACTCAGAAGTAATGGAAGCCAACTTTGGACGCGTCTCAAAGTGGCCCTTCCCTAATAGCTTGTCCTCGTCCTCGTCCTCTTCTTCCTCGTCCTCTTCCTCCTGACCTCTGTCCTGACTTGCACCTCGGTTTGCCTCACAGTCACATCTCATTTCTGCCGCACCACACCGCGAGCAGCCCTCACTCCTCTCTTCAAATTGTTCCATGAAATTGATATTGACAATTCAATTCCTCCACCACAGGCCTTCAATTTGCCTTTGACCCAGCGCTGTTGTCATCCCTGTGTGTGTGTAAAATGAAACACCCACAGAAAAAAAAGCAATTTAACTCGGCAGAACAACTGCCAACGTGAACCATTTTCACCTTGATAATTATCAAAGTCATCCATTAATCAGTTGTAACCGCATGTTTTCAGCTTTGAAGCAGATTTATTCCACTGATTAACTGCTGCGAAGTAGAGCACGATCCTCCATATCGTTGTAAACACTAAGCTTTAAGGGAATGTATTGAAGAAGATCAAGAAGATTTTGTAAACTGCAACAAAACCCACATTCAGGTACTTTCCTTCGACGTCATGGCCGCGCCTCTTTTTGGGTGAAAACATTGGCTGTCATTTGACTAAGGTTTTCGCTAATCACATTTTTGAAGAACCCAAATATGATGGTTAGTTACACAAACAATTACACACCGTCACTGTAAATCGATGATTGGCGTTGATATATGGTTAAATTAAAGGGGATCAATTTAATTTCAGTCTACCGGTGGACGAGTGGCAGGCTAACACTTACATTTTGTTTCCTTGGCTTGTCAGTGTTTTATATTTCAATTCAGCATCTACATTCACTACTTTGACTTCATACATTTCTATTTAGCGACGGGTGGCGCAGTGGTCTGTGCGTCTGATCATCAGATCAAGGGGGTGTTGGGGAACTCCAGTTCGAAACCAGCTCCCGCCGCCACTGCGTCAGGCCGTTGTGTCCTTGGGCAAGACACTTCACCCGAATATGCTCCTGTGGGTATTGTCCACAGTACATGTATGATATTAATGTGTACTTGTAAAGCGCCTCGATGACTTCGAGGTGTGAAGATGGGCGGTGTGGCGCAGTGCGCTGTGCAATGATTATCAGATCAAGGGGGTCAAACCTGCCGCCGCTGCGTCTGTAAAGCCGTTGTGTCCTTGGGCAAGACACTTCACCTGAACTTGCTCCTGTGGGTATTGTCCACAGTAGACCATTACATGTATGTGTAATGTGTATCTGTAAAGCGCTTTGAGTCATTGATAAAGCGCTATAATAAGGATTATTATTATTATTATTTACTTTGATGATTGACCTCATTAGCATCATGTAGATGTGATGGAAGTGTTTCCAACTGACGTATTGATTGACGGTTCCCATTGATTACGTTTTTTTCGTCCTCTCTGTAGACAGCCTGAAGCCACAGATTTTTACCATCCCTTTTTTATAGATAAAAGTAAAGAAAATCATACCTTTTGATTGTTTTATTTGTTTGACGTGCAATCCAAGACACAGCAGCTTTTACGGTCGATACAACTATTTATTACGCTTGGCGCCCATTCTTAGTTTTCACCGTAAAGTGGGCGGAGACATTATCTTGCCAGCAGTCAGCAGCAGCTCATATTAACAGCATATCTTTATGGCTGCTAACCTGACATGATTTTTAGTCCGCTCTACAAACATGAAAGATGAGTCAGTCAAGACTCATTTCACAGCTGATGGTTTACTGCCAATCACAACTAAGATCAGCAACGTTTTTTAAAACTGGAATAATCCTAACCACATCATATTTGATCCATCTCTATTTCTTTGTATCTGTCTGTTGACTTCCTTCTACTCTGTACTGTCCCTTTCTTCCTTCTGTCGGCATGGTTTCAAACCTATCTCTGCTGCCTTTCAACTAGAAAAGACAAATTAATTTGCTTCATCGCCAAAACACAACCTGACAACCTTTTGTTTGCTATCTCATCCCCGCCTCTCTGCCTTCATCACATCCTCGCCATTGATTTTATTTTGACAAGAAGCCAGAGGAAAGACAGCCTTATTTTCCCCGTTCCTTTCTCCTCTCTTTGTGTTTAATTATTGTCCCTGATAGCTTGGCTTTAATTAAAGCTTTGGATCTGACAAACAACACTAATGATGTCAGGTCACAGAAACAAATGGAAAGTTCCCAAAGTAAGCTCGGGAGGATCGGAGGGCCTCTGTGAAAATATACTCTGTGTGTTTGTCCTCATTGGAAAATCACAGGATAAAGTAGGATTGAACAGATAAGAGGGATGTTGGAAATAATAATCTGCATCTTTTATGACTAAATATATTTTCCCCACATTCTAACACTGGATGAAAGAAGAGCTGCATTCATATAATAATTCAGGATACATCCATAATAAGGGTTTTTACATTAAAATGGCATTATATTTTCAATTGAAAATAGGATCCATGTAGGAATAGACACATTTACTTGCACAAAACTACAATATAATACTCATAACGTAATACCAACAACCTCCAGGCACTGTTTCATTGACACAAGTGTCAGAAAGTCCAATGAACATCATATTTGTTTGCCTTTCTTTTCATTTTCACCGATGGTTAGGGCTAAAGAAATATTTATTTTATGACTCTTTGAAGTTTTTGAAGGATGCATACGACCAATTGGTACTTAGCATCAGGTTGAACTAACCAAAAATGATGATTTCTGCTCAAATTTGAAATGTAAATCTCTAGGACAGGAGTGATTGACTGACATAAAGATGTGCACACCTTTGTTGAAACAGCTAGTTGACATGATCACTTGCTTGCTCATCGCCACCTTCTTTCTCTAATGCATATTACCTGAACTCCATCCACCCGTTACATTCACAACACGGCTATTATGGGCCTGATTGACAGCCCAATCCAACAGAAAATGAACAACTTCATTAAGCTTCGAGAGGGAGTATGTTAATATAATGTAAACGTGCAAAAGAGTGACTCAATTAATGTGGAATTACAGCGTTTGCCTAAAAGTGGACAAAGAGATAATGGATGTAATTATGAATCAAGCAAATGCAGAGGTTTTAACCTGGGGACAAATGATTGGTCCCCAGAAGCGAACATTTAAATGATTGGTGACCAGTGGCGAGCCGTCAGGGCCCTCTAGGCCCTCTGTGAGGGCCTAAGATATTCTAAAAAATAATATTTAAAAACATTTAAAAAATATATATTTTTTTTAAATATATATTTTTTTAATATTATTTTTGTTATATTTTTCATTAGTTTTACCGAAAAAAAACTTGATTTAATTGTATTTAAAATAACATTTCCAAAGAAATAAATCCTTCGAATCTGCCTGTTCAGTCTCTGTTGAATGTGAAGGGTTACATGAAAGAAGCTCGTCTGGCCCTCTCTGCGATTCACAGAGGGCCCGCTATAGTAACTGAACGAGAGAGTAATGTCAAATGACAGTACAATTGACCAATCATATCTTCCCTCTAAATGGGTGGGTTTTGTTATCGCGGACTTTATGACAAGTTCCGCCCGCTTGAACTTCCTGTCAACAGCGTGAACTCGCCTTCAAAATAAAAGCATGCCAAATTACACTTAAGACATACAACACAATGCAATATCCTTTTCAATGTCAAAGAACACAAATTGGGTTCACAGGTGTTGTTTTGTGTGGTAGAGGGTCGCTGTCATTGATGCGTTTTGCACCCTGGGCCGTTGTTTTGATATTCCGCTGAAGTATACGCTGTGACGTAATAAC